ACTTGATAGCCAAACAAATGTGTCAGTGTCTTCACTAGATAACAATCCATAACCAAGAAAAATGGACTGCCCATGGTGATTAACTCCTACAAATAGAGCAAATGGCATGTCATATTTGTTGGTCAAATAAGTTGTGTCAAATGAAAGAACATCTCCAAATGCTTCATAAGTCACCTGACTCCTTGCATCAGCCCAAAACAAGTTTCTAATGCGAAACTCCTCATCAACATCAATCATGTAAAAAAATCTCTCACTATGTGCTTGCATCCTCATAAAATAACTTTGAAGTGATTTGGCATTACCTTCCCTAAGCCTCAATCTTCTAGCCCTCTCAATGTAATTTCTTGCATCTAGCTCATCAAATGTCAAAGACTCGTATTCCCCCGCTTTAACAACCATTGAATGAAAGTTTCTAGACACCTCAATCCATGTTTGATCATTAATTTCTAATCTTTTCTTCACAAGAGTAAGAATTTTCTTATTCATTGCAAGATGACGTGAGTCGGTATGAATCATATCATGATTATGCTCAAGGTTAACTGTGGTTAGTTTATATCTCCTATCCTTTTGTACACTATCTCGTACCCCTTGCTTTGCAACCAATTTTTGTAGACAAAGATGGCTTTAGAGGGTTGACTTCTGATTTTTTTTTCTCTCCCCCACTCGAGAACATTCAATTGCAAAGTTTTTTAATTGCCCATCATCTCCAAAAAGTTGTGCTCTGTGAGCTATAAAAAATCCAACATGCTTAGCATATTTGCCATAAAATGTGTACACTTCTTCTCTTGAGCTAAAACACATACTCTTCTTAGGTTCTTCAACTGCTTCACCCTTCATTTGCTAAAGGATTGTCACCAACATTTGAATCAACCTCCATTCTTCCACTTTGCATAATGAAATAACAATTTAATGATTTCAAAATGATTATATAACACAATGCCCAAACAAACACAATGAATCAGTTCCCTAACACAATGCCCAAATTGAGGACAAATACCGATTTGAACAAATATTAAAAAATGGAACTAATTTGAACAAATATTATGTGACTATCCCCAAAGTGTATGAACAAATATCAGCAAATTGAGATTATGAGACTATCCCCAACCCCAAGTGACCATATTCAAATTTGAGATTATGTGACTATCTCGAACCCCTTATCACATAATATTTGTTCAAATTGATTTTTAGGAAATGTCCAAATTTAGTCACTTGGGGTTGGGGATAGTCATATATGGAACTAATTTTTTAGGGAAATCTTATAGGAAGTTAATGAAACTGATGTTTTTACCTCATAAACTGTTATGGGAAGTTATATTTAGTTTAACTACTACAATTGATTTCTTACTTGGAGAGTAGGGGGAAAAGGTTTACCTCATAAACTACTGATCCATAGTACGTGCGAGATAGAGACGGAGAGCGAGACGCAGACACGTAGTCGAAGATTGAGGACAACGATAGACAGAGATGCAGCCGAAGATTACATCTACCTCAGTCTCAAGATCATTTCGATTGTGTACATGGGAAAAGCCAGAGTATGAGTGGACAAAATTGAATATCGATGGATCTGTAGATCGAGATAATGTTGGCTTTGGTGGTTTGCTTCGCAATTACAATGGTCGTCATTGACAGCGGAGAGCTACGGTGGAGGATGAGGATAGCAAAAAGCTATGGCGGCGACAGGTGAGGACGAGTGAAGATGATTTTGGGTTTGGGCTCCCGCTATATCCTTTTTTTTTTCCTCACAGCTGCGTGCGTGTATACACCCTTCTTTCACCTCAGCTGCTAGCTCACTGGGGGTTCTGGGGGTCATGTTTCACTGGGGGTCTGTAGCAAAATTGACAAAAAAATTGGCTATCGTAACCAATGCCAAACGAAGCTTTAGTTATATTGGAACGAGAAGGTTTTTTTTGTTATGACACTACAAAAAAATTCCTTTTTTTGCAACGGTAAAACGCCATCGCAAATACCCCAAACGCCGTCTCAAAAGGTTTTTTGCGACGGTAGGTGGCCTTTTGCGACGGCAAGTGGGGGGTCGCAACAAAAGGGGTTGCAAAAGAGTTTTTGCGACGGCATTTTTACCTTTTGCGACGGCACTTTGCAGTCGCTAATAATGTTTGAAATTTCTTGACTTTTTGCGACGGCACTATTTTACCGTCGCTAAAAATGTTATTTGAGACGGCAAAAAATACCGTCGCTAATGGTCTTTTTTTTGCAACGACAAGAACACTGTTTTTGCGACGGTGTGGTGCCATCACAAAAAGTATTAAAAATATGAAATTTTCTATTTTTTGCGACAGTGTACTGCTGCCACAAAAAGTATTAAAAAATAATAAAAATTTTATTTTAAATAATAAATTTTTTATTTTTTGCGACAGTTTAGTGCCTTCGCAAAAAGTAAAACCTATAACAAAATCAATAAAAATATTAAAATTTTCTATTTTTTACGACGGTATAGTACCGTCACAAAAAAGAAAAAAACATTCTGCGATAAAATTATTAAAAATATTAAAATTTCTCCATAATAATATAAAAATTCCTATATAAAAATAACAATTTCTTCATAATAAAATATTCTTCCATTCATAATTACACATCAACAAAATTATCGCACTACATAATGTTCCATAATACATTTATAATGTTTAAATACATTATTTTGTTCATAATTCAAAATAGCATAAACCAAAATTAAATGTTTTTCTCATCATTCTTCGTAGATAACAAAAACAAAAGTTAGCCACATTCTCCACAGGCATACATTCCACAAGAAGCACACTCTTACATGGGAAATATCTGAAAAATAAAAATAAAAATAATTAATGACAATATAATTATGTGTTAATGTTAATTACAAAAAAACATAAAAATTTAATTACTATAACATCAAATACAACATTTTTTTTGTTAGTCATCAAATCCCAGATGGATAATTAAACATCTCAATCAAATACAAAAATAAAAAACATTTTTTTTGTTATATATTTTTCTATGGTCTTCCAAAGCAAATACCAATATTTTGCAATGTATCTATTTGGATATTTTTGAAGGTGTGATATCTATTTTATCATCAAGCTACTACTGACTTTAGTTATGCAAAAAGGCAGCTTAACTCAAGCTGTTTTTACTCAATGTGGGCCAACCCGTCCACATGCACAGAAAATTTTCAACTTTTACCCTGCTAGGATGAAGGCCTTAGTAGGATTAACTAAATATTTGCATCTTTATTGAATAAACTAGATTGCAGAGTCAATTGAAAGTGTACATCTTACCTGGCCAGTGCGGAAAAACAATTTTGTGTAGCCAACTTGATACATCTCAGGCAGAATATTGACCTGATGAAGAATTACAACTGAAACACTTAGTGGGTCTTGCGATGCAACATTGTCCAGTAAAAGAAAACCATACCTAATGCAGGATACATGAAAAGAGGGTATTATAAAAATAAAAATAAAAGGATCATTGAGACAAGAAAAATCAGATGCTTGAGAATTTATTACACAATTTTTAGCATGCCAATAGAACTAAAAAAATTAAATAAAATGACACCATATTTCTTTACCTTCTGGCAAACTTTTGATGAGTCATCCTGGTAGGAAAGCCAGATCTTGATATTCGAACAACTTCTAGGACCCCGCAGCATCTTAGCTGCTGCAGCACAAGTTCTTGTTCATACATTCCAGGTGATTGAACGTTGTTGGGTTTGATACAATGAATGAAATGTGGTGCTGTACTCTGTAAACGTTGCATTAATTGGAACAATTGGCCCTAAATATCAGCAAACAACATGAATCAAATTAAAGAAGCTAACTCATTCTGAAAAGAAAATTTTCTACAATATCATGTGATAAACCACAAACCATGAGGGTCAAGTATTCTCAGAAATGATAATGTAATATCATGTTATACTAATCTATCATTTGTGTCAGACACAAACCCATGTGCATATGAAAAACCAAGAGTCACCCAAAATTTAAGACACAAATTTGATGATTATTTATTTCAAGGCTACAACATATGTAACCTCCAACTCTTATGTACATAGAAAAATATTCATATTTCACATTCTATAAAGAAATATTCCTACATTTTGGAATCTACATCTGGATCATAAATAAGACTAGTCATAGATACATGGGCCAAACCTCTGTAATCAATTTGTACATGATCTTAATTAACAATACACCCCATAAGTGGTTCATCAGTCACCACTATTTTAAACTTCAGTAAAATATCGCTTTCAATATGATTGAAGTTCACCTAAGAAGTTCAAATCCATTCTTGCCATTGCTTAAGCTTTTGTCCAAAAAGCTCCTTTTTATGATTTATGATGCCTTTGAGTTAACACCACTTTCGATTCTTGAAGCATTCTTAACAAGAGTTGAAACCAAAAGTCTTAGCCATGCAGGATTGGTACCCACTATAGTACAGCTTAGGAATACTATCTGTTTTCCTCTCATCAATGTAGCGCACACATGGGACAAACACAACATCACAAATATGCTAACACAGCAATTCCTAAGAAACTAGGACATGCACACAGTAAGGACACCAAATCATATTACTATTCATATACTTTTGATGCATATAATGTAAGAAAAATATGTGATGTAAATAAATATCTAAAAATTCTACTTACAAATGCAAAATATGAAAGACGAAATCCCACAAATGCCATATATAATGTACGTCTCTTAGAAATGTTTCAAAATATATTTGGGGTGGTGGGTTGCATTCCCAAGAAAGTCAAACCTTAGTCATGCTAAGAGATTCACCACATAGGTCTTATTAGAGACTCTGAAAACAGGCATATATGATGTGAGATTAATTATGCAACATGATTTAGATACTTTTCTTTCATTGTCAATCACATTTGAATTGTAATTGTAATGTAATAAACAGGCATATATGACAAATTAATGTTAAAAAATTATGACTTTTAAAATAATATCTTATTGATTAAGCATATAACTAATTACCGTTCCATCCTCCTGGTCCAGCATAAGATGCCCAGACATCATTTTCGTCAGCACGTGAAGTCATACTACATCATGTGTATGCAGAAAAAACAAAATCCATGTCATGATTTTATTTTTACCATAAGTTTTTAATATTACTCTCATTATCATAAAAAAAATTCTGCCATAAGATAAAATTCACATTTTCTAATTAGGGGTTTTTAATTTGTTTACCTCTTCCAAGTGTCTTTAATGTCTCCAGTTGTTCTCCAACTATTTCCTATGCTAGCTGCCCAAGTCGCTGGGTTTTCTTGGCCCCTAAAAAAACTAGATCATCCTTTTTGATGAATATATAATATAGTTATGAAAACAATTAATTGTATGGTATTTTAAACTAATTAAAGAAAGGAGATTAAAATTGAAGACATACCATTCACATAGGGAAAAGAAAATGGGTCGTCCAGTTTTAAGGAGAGCTTTACTCATTGTCGAATATCTACAACCAAGGATGTAATCATATATTTGGTATCAGTTCTTACATTAATTCTTCTACCAAAAATAAATAAATAATAATAATAATAAAAACAAAAACAAAAATTTAAATTTGTTTTTCAATATTGGTCTAACATGAACTAGTTTCATAATACATAAAACTGATTGACAATGACAAATGATTGAATAATCTATCAACCCTATAATTCAATTTTATCTAAATACTGCATCGTATTTTTTAATAATCAAAAGAAACGGTAATAAGAAGTTTTGCATTCGTTTTACCTTTCTTGTGGACTCAATCCATTATTGTGACAATTGTCATACTTCAAATGATCAATTCCCTTAAAAAGACGGAAAAAAAAAATTATATTAGTCAAGTCAAGCTTGTGACTCCAGTGGAGTAAATTTAGTATCAAAGGAACAATAAAATAGAAGCAAATACAATCTCAAGTTTATAGTTTTTATTCTTCCCAACTCCAACATCTTATTAATCTTATATGCAAGCATGGACGCACACATGGCATAGATAACTAATACAATTTTAATTTAGTTTATGATGCAATCATTTGATGAATAAAATATAATGAAAATGCATAATCGATCAATTAGTTAAGACATACATACGTACCCATGAAGCAAAGGTGTTGGCATCATGTTCCTCGTAGCCAAGTGATCCAGGCATCCTTTTGTCATAAGTCAATGTCCTGAAAACAATAATACATAAATGGAACAATTTACAAGCTAGGGAATCCTTTTATTTGCATCAATAATACCCTTTCTTTTTGCTGATCAAAAAAAGAGAGAAGATATTGATAACATATGTTGGATTACAGAATTAGTTATGATGAGTGAGGTTTTAGGACAATAAATAATCAGCTCTCATAAATTTTACAAATTACTGACATATGTTATCTTTGATGATCTATAATTTGTCAAATTCGAACTGTCAGTTAACTCTGTTACTGTAACAGCCCCCATACTGTTTACCGATTAATGACTGATTGATTACCGATAACCATCGATTACCGTTAAACTGAATTGATTATGACTGATAATTGGACTGATTAAAGTACTGAACTGACTGACTGGAATCTGGAATTAATTAACTGACTGTATCTGTTTAAATGCATAATCCATCTATTTGACTGTTTGATTATCTGTTCGTGTTTTACGTTTAAACTGCTAATTGAAGGCCTTATCGACGGCCGAACCAGAAATTGATTAGTGTTTTATGATCATCATAATTAATGTGATTTTATGGTATAATTATCTGAAAACTGATTAGGTATGATTAAATTAGATTAATGGTGCTAAATTACATGAACTGGACTTATTACCAAATTGCCACCCTTAGTGGCCCACTCAATATAACACATTGGAGCCCTTGCATGCTTGAATCAAAACATTTCATTAGTTCTCCTTGTTCAACCGGCCTTAGAGAGAGAGGAAGGGAGAGAGAGTGAATTGTTCTAGTGAATTGGCTTGAATTGCTTGGAATTGAAGTGCAAATTGTCAAATTGGACACCTAAACCTTGAACACAAGACTAAGGTAGGACATTCATCTTCTTGTTGTTGTCATAGACTTGATTCTTGCACGATCCATGCTTCATTTGTAGAGTTAAGCCATGTTTTAGTTCATACATGTAGGATTAGAACATAATTCATGCATGCATGTTTGAATTGATGAGTTTTGAGTTGAATCCATGGTGAAATGGAACATGCATGTTCATAATTTTGTAATGGTCCATGTTTTCAACTTGTTTTTGGATCAATTGGCTCCTTAGAGCATCAAATTGGAACTTCCAAATGATTTGAATTCATGCATGTTTGCGTGTTCATATTGTTCATGAAATTGGTTTGAAATTGAGGTTGAATTAAACACCCTTGGGCTTTGATTTCTCAAATTGAGTTTTGAACTATGATATTCTATATGTTTACAACTGTTTTCTGGAAATTCAGCCCAAGAGGATCGATTTTGATGCTTTTGAACTTGGTTTTTGGCTTGGAGGTGCAATATGGAATTCCCAGATTTTGCACTTCCGCTCGAGCGGGGTAATTGGCGCTCGAGCGTAGAATCCGAGCATCTAGTATCTCTGCACTGTTTTTCAGTCCGCTCGAGCGGAGGATTGGGCGCTCGAGCGGAGTCATGTGTCTCAAGCTTGAGCGGGCGTCGAGCGGAGATTTCACCCATCCAGTACTTTTACAGTACGCTCGAGCGGGAAAGTTTACGCTCGAGCGTGTACCTTCGAGCGGGGAAACCTGCGCTCGAGCGGGACTCTGTTTTCTGTTAAAGTCTGAAACTATTTTCTGATCACATCTTTGCATCCTCAACCCATTCTAGGCATTCTTAGACCTAGTTTAAGGCATCTTGTTGAGGATAGATGTAGAACACACCGAGGCATTAGGGGTTAAATTATGTTATCTCCCAACTGTGTAGCTTAGTGTGTGTGTTCAATCTGTTAACTGTGTAGGGTTGGCGACTGGGGAGACGTGCTCTAGCATACTGTAGCCCAAACTCTGTGAGTAACAACTATGTAAAGATATGTTCAAAAATGATTATTTTCTGAACAATTGAACTGTACTGCTTTCTGAACTGTTACTGTTAATTCAATGAATGAATGTCCTCTATTCTGAACTGTATTGTGGCATCCTTAACAACTACTGTTACTGACTGTTACTGTTACAGAGATCTCTGTCGGTTCCCTCGTGGAACCACTACTGTTTACTGATTGATGGCCATCATTACTGTTCGGTCTTTAAGACCTACTGTTTACTGCTATGCTAATGGATGCACCACATATGACTGAATAACTGTTCTGACTGAAAGACTGAAGTATTGTTTAATTGGTTGAGTGATAAAATTGACTGATTAGTTAGGTTGTTGGTTAAATTTTATTAATTTCATATAATTTTATACGATGAGTTTGTGTGAAATGTCTAATTTTTTGACACATTCCTCCACATAAACCACCCTTAAAAAAGAAACAAATAAAAAAAAAAACTAACACACACAGCCACCACCAAAAAAAAAAAAAATTTGTTGTCGAGGCAAATTCGAGGCCTCTAGCATCGCTGAATTTGATATCCCAAAATAGAAAGTGGACAACATTTTCAGGCAAATTAAAATAGAAAAGTAGATCAATAAAATGGAACAGAGAGAGTATATATATTCATAAAAAGTTTATAGAAATTACTAGGGATTTTTATTGATAAATCTTATTTAGAAGTATTCTAACCCAAGAAGTTTATAAATGAATTTTTTAACCCACTTAATCTCATATATTTATACTTTTATTTCATAAAGTCATTTTCTTGATTTACATTATTTTCTTAGACTCTTATACCTCTATATTTAATATTGATATTTAATGTTGAGGGGGAAGAGAAAGGAAAAGACCAAGGCATAGGAAATTTCATACATAAATTAAACAACATTGATGTTATTATTTTATATTATTGTATAATGTGAATATATTTTTAATTGGCAACACATTAAAAATAATGTGAACATTCTCTCTCATTTGATGTGAACGTTCGCAACACCTTTTCAAAAAATTATCTCTCATCTAATATAGTAATGTGAACGTTTACAACATGTAAACCTTCTTATTTTTAATTGACAACACATTAAAAATAACGTTCATTATATTTCTAATTGACAACACATTCTTATTCACAACATGTAGTGACATAAATGTTCACAACATATGAACATTCTTATTTTTAATTAACAACACAATGTTATTTTCTCCCTTTTTGTGATTGTGATTGCTATTGGTGTTGATGGTGTTCAAAGGATGTGAACCCTTTTTTTTTTTTTTCAATGTTTTTCAAAAAATAATGAAATGGTGGTTTGATATATTATTGTCTATGTGTGTAGCTAGTGTTGTGATGTGAACATT